TTCTCCCCCCCCCACCTCTTTTTTTATTTTTTATTTTTTTTCTCTTCCCCCAATGCAGCCAAATGCATGCCATGTACAAATTCTGTTTGAGAGAAAGTGGGAAAGTGGAAAGAGTGCATGTGCCTGAATGAGTTGCTGGAGTGAAGCAAAGCAGCTCCAGGAAAACCAAACAGAGAGACTTAGACAAAAACATTGAAGTGAAAACGAGGTGTTGGGCCAAGCAACTTTAAGTATTGCAGACTGTTAGACAGCCTCTCAACATCTGATATTCTTCCCTCCATGGCTGAGCTGGGGTTATTGAAGTCCTGAAGGCTACTGATTTCATTTGATGCTGCCATTGAGAGCATCAGTCTTCGACTGCAAGTGGAATCCATTAGTCTGGGGTCTGTTCCTCACACCGTGAAACAGGAGAGGCCTTTCTGTCACTAATGCTGCCCAGTGTTGATATAGAGGGGAATTTTGCTGCTGAGATTTCTGAAGATAAGGTTTAGAGAGGGACCTCAGTGTGCCTAGAGTGCAACGAACACAGCTCTGCTGTTCCAATCTTGCCCACGGCCATTACACAGGCAGTAAAATAGTTCAGCACTACCTGAATACTCTTGTGTGTGTGAGCAACTTCATTTATGACTGCATTATGATGTGATTTTTCAGAGTTAAAAAATATCTTCCTTTGTAATTTAAACATGTTTGTCATGTTTTGAATGTTGTTTTTTGCCTTTTACCAGGGAAGAGAAGTGCATACATGCACACACCCTTGCCCAAAAAAGTTGAAAAGCAAATTTGAGGAGCTGCTTGGAGAAAAAGGTCAGCTTAAGGATAAAAAGAGTACTGGACAGAGGATAAAAAGTACTGGAGAGCCAGTACTGCTTACGAAAATCTTTTGGTTTGGACTAACTGTATAGCAATCAAATCCAATGAATGGTTTCTGACATGTGGTCACCAAATGCTTCTTTTTGTTGAAACCATTCAGAGCCTGCCTTTCTACTGTATATTTTTATGGATTCTGCAAATGCAGCACGAGGTCTAGCAGCAATGTTTTTCCTTTATTTGCATAGAGATCCTACTTCAGTGGTTGTTTGGTTTTGTTTTTCCCCCAAGCATGAATCTAATGCATACAGTCTGGAATGGCAGACGGAAGAAGTAACTGTAGAGATAGAAGCTGGTCTGACTGTTCAAATCCTGTTCTCATAGTACGTTTATTTCAGTGGTACTAGTTTGTTATGAAAAGGTTTTTCTTGGTTCTGAATAAGGTATTTTCAGGTGGTGTGCAGGAAGTCGGTCAGTGTCCCGAATGGTGTCAGAGTGAAAGATGTTTGAAAGAAAAGGCAAATCCTGTGTATTGTGTTGCCTAAGCCATGTCTAATAGCAGCTAATTCTGTCAAGTCATAAAACCTGGGTGGGCTGGGTTCTGGAGAACTTCTTGCAGCACTCCAGCCAAACTTCTGGCTCACTCCTGCATAAGGGATGTATTTAAGCCTCCATTAGGTATCTGCATCAGTACTTCATTATTGTGTGTAGGTTGTTGGCAGGGAGCCCTTGCATGGACTGCATTTAAGTGTATCCAATTAATATATAAATGTGAATTGATACAGAAGTATATATGCTGTTAAGTACATACTATAGGAATGTAAATCCTAGAAATAATGTTTTCATTGGCTGCAAACTATGAAAGCACTTTGACAAAATGTCATATTGCTGGCATAGCAGTATGATGATTTGGATGGAGAGAGGACAGTATTGTTTTATCTGGGTGAACATCACTCTCTATTACTTTGTCCCATCCTCCTGGTTCTTGGGAAGGATATCTGTGGAATATAGGGAGGTATGTTTGAGAGAAAAACAGGGCCGATTTGTTTTTATTTTTATCTTTTCTGGAAAAACAAGTAGAATCTATTTCTAGGAGTCTACAGCGTGAGTTTTATGTATATTTATATATTTTTTCAAA